TTTTTTTTTTTTTTTTTTTTTTGTACCAGGGATTGAACTCAGGTCCTTGTGCTTGCAAGGCAGGTGGATGAACCACTGAGCTAAATCCCCGACTCTTCTATTAGTGTCTCATCCCTACCTTGGGACAGTGGCAGGGTACATCACGGTGACCTGTGAAATAGCAGCCAGCTAAGGGACCAGTGCATGATGAAGGCGTAGCACCCACTCCACTGGCTGGGGGAGCCCCCATTGTCCTTGATTTGTGTCACAGCTAGGAGGATACCTGTCCAGAAGAGTTGATGTGAAATTGTGTGAAGTTTGCCCTTGGATGAAGAAGAAGTCTTTACAAGTGAAGAGCTGTTCCTTTTCTGGTCCTACACTCACCTAGAAGGGGGTGCCTCAAGCACAGGCTGCTGGTTTTGGCAGCTGTTGCTTTGCTTTCAGTGCTTGGCCCTGCCTTGGCTGCAGGGTGAACCCTGGGCAATTTCTGAAGCTGTTTTTGTCCCTGGATGTGGAGAGGTAAAGACTTTCCCCAGGCCTCCTGGGTGACTTTGCCTCCAGCTTCTCCATGACCCAGGATGGCTTCAGAGCCATCCCATTGCTCCCAGTACCTTTACCCCTTTGCTATTATAGGTTTTCAGTGCTGAATTTAAGAAAAGGAATTCTTTGCTTTGACTACTGCCCAGACAAGAACTTCCTGGGTAAGTTATCTTTATGTCCCCCAGATGCTGCTCGTCTAGCAGACCTGGTGTGAGGGGTTATGGAGGTTTTAGGATTATTAGAGCCCAGGAACAGTATCGGTCTGGCCTCCTGTCTTGCTTTGCTGGTTACCACTCATGGGCACCAGGCAGTGGTGTGCTGTTGTAAGCCAGTGATGGCTAACCTTTTAGAGTTTTCAATGATAGAAAGCCCACTGTGGGAGGCATGCCATAGATTTTGCCATCACTGATGTTAGCTGTGCATGGGACAGTGGTGGAGAGGATGGGGCAAGAAGGACAGTAATGGATCATGGTGACCCTCTCCCTATCTGGCAGACCTGGCTGGGTCCAAGGTCTCGCTCTGGAAGACAGTCTCCAGTGTAGGACCCTGGTGGCTAATAGCCATTTATTGACCCTAGCAACCGGTGGGTATGACTCCCACATCCGCCTGTGGAATCCTTTCATCTCAAAAAGGCCTGTGTGGCTGATGAAGGGGCATCAGACCTCAGTGACACACATCATCGTGGACAGCAAGAACAGCAGCATCCTCATCAGTATCTCCAGGGACAAGGTGCAGCCCTCATGGAGCCAGCCCCCCTTCTGTACCTTTAGGAATGACACTACCCTGGGAGTAATAGTCTAGCTCAGCCAGCCCCAGGGGAGGAGTCTGGGGCCCAGAGGTGTGTGGTAACGTCCTTGCCCATTATCTCACACTGGGCCAAAGGCCTAAAGGGTCTACCCAAGGCAGATCACCATGAAGGTGGCCACGGGTCTCTTGATGACCCTCAAAGGGCCCTGAGTCCAGGTCTGATGAATCTGTTGGAGCTGGTATCCATGTAGCCCAGCCTGACTGGTTACTTTGTGGCCCTGGTCAAGTCCCTTTTTTGAGTCTCAGCTTCCTCTTTCATAGATTGGGGTGCTGAATGGTTTATAGGAAAATAAACAGGTAGTGAGAGCAGTATGAACAGAGTGGATGTGTGATACCTGTGAGCCCTCCCCCTGTCTTCTGTACCCCCACCCCAGATCTGTATCTCTCAACTCTAGCAGTGACTCCCAAGCCCCACTACGTGGCCCAGCACTTTGCTCCTGAGCTAGTGTTAATTCAGGTTACTGTCCTGTCTACTGGCTGCTCAGGTCATTCCTGCTAGGGTGGGGTGTGATTGACAGCTCTGGGTGCCCTCCTGCAGTGGACAACTTTGTTTTCTGGGACTAATGCTATTAGCTGGAGAACTGTCAGGGCTCTTGGGGTCACTGAGCCACCCTTCCCAGCACCTCTTCATGTATGCTGCTATCTGGAATTCTCCCACAGCGTATGAGCTGATGAAGGATCTGGGCTGGAGGGGTGGAAGGATAGGGCTGGGCACGCTGAAGTCCTCAAGATGAGTGATATGCAAAGGCAAAGTATGGGCTGGGTCGGGCGCACTCCAAGTCCATATGCCCTTCCAGCTTGCTGGGGATGCCTGTGAACTACATGCATCCTGGAGGGCTTTCCATAGAGCTTCCCTGGGATACTCTTTTAGCTCAAGATGAATGCAAAACAGGCTACACTGGGAACAGGTAGGCCATTTGGTAACCTCTCTTGGTAGCCACTCTGACTTAGGCTGGCTTTTCTAGCATGAGGTGGAGTGGGAACAAGTGAAGGCCTGAGATAGGGTGCAGGCCTCCCGCTGTCTTCATCCTCAGCCTGTGGAGTTAATAGTTTAAGTAGGGTAGAGGCCTAAAGGCTGTGCTTTTGTTTACCATGTGCCTGGGTTGTATGATTATTACACAGTTGTGATCCCATCAAAACCTACAGTGGGTGTGCTTTAGAAGTGCTTGCTTACAGGGGTATCCACAGGACCTTAGGGGCCTCTTGCCGTTTCCTACCCCCAGAACATCTGTGTGTGGGACCTGCAGGATTACGTGTGCCTCCAGACCTTCTCTGGGAAGCAGTTTGCCCTGGGAAACTACCCCATCACCAGTGCCTATTTCAACACCAAAGGCAATACCCTCATCTGTAGCACCTACTCTGTAAGTGCCATCCTGACAAGGGGCACCATGACCAGGCTCTTGAGTTCCCATGGGACAGCCAAGAGCACGTCATGCCCTGTCCCTCCTGAGATTGCTAAAGTTGCTGGCCTGGCCTGGCATCCTCCTGAGGGTGGGTCCTGGGTCAGCCCATCGTCTGCCACTGCTGCATCTGTGCAGTTGACACCTGTGCACCCCTCATTGGGGCTCTCCCAGCAAGACCCTCCTTACATGCCCCTTTGGCCCTGTCAGGATGTGGGACTGTTTCCTGCTAAATAATGAATTCCAGGAAGGCGTGGCCCATGCCTGAGCAGTTCTTGAAAAGAGAGGCCCTGGGTAAGCTGTCAGGAAGACAGTTAGGACTGTGCTGGTACCCATGAGAGGCCTGTCCAATCCTGGGGGACAGGAGAAACTGGGACAAATACAAAGGGTAGACTGGCTAGAGTGGCGGTGGGAACTGTGCCTAAGTGGGAGCCTGGGGGGCTGCGAGAGTAACCAGCAGGGACAGAGAGTTTCCGCTGAAAAAGGAGAAGAGGGCATCTGTGGTTGAGCTCCACTGAGGCTTTGCACCCTCTATTGGTCAGGCCCCTCTGGGAGGGGACCCAGCCATCCTCCTGTGCACCTGGCTGGCTCTCCCCCTAGACAGTAGTTTATTGAGAAGGACGGTTGTGGGTTTATGTACATCTTTGCTGGGTGCCATATCTTGGCTGTTGGCATTTGTTCAATAGAACTTTGAAGTTCATTCCAGGTCATTAAACTGTCAACTCTTGCTTTTCGTGGAGAGCTGAGAACATAGTAATGAGGCATTATCCTAACTTTTTAGGGTTGAAGAAAACCAGATAGTTTTAGTAGAAAGTGCTATGTAAGTTGAAAGTCTTAGATTCTAAGTACCTCAGGAGCACAGAAAGAGTTCCCTGCCTAGCCTGGGACCAGGCTGGTCAGGAGAGGCTTCCTGGAGAGAACACCTAAGTGAGGATGTCGTGAAGTGAGATGGACCAGCAAGGTTGGAGGCCTGATTCCAGGAGTGGGCACTGTGGAGTAGTGTAGGATGTCTTAAGTTTATGGAAATTTCTCCCTATGGCCAGTCACAGAGGGGTATTAGTCACTGTCTATCTCATGCAGATTGGCATCCTAAAAGGGTACTTGGAGGCTCATGGGCCGACGAAATTAGGGAAGACCACAACTCACAATTCAGCCCTGTGTGCTGTCCTCTACAGCAAGATCTTCAAGCAGGTGAGTGGGTAGGGCTTGCCTCTGAGGCTGGCAGGAATGCCAGGTGACACAGGCCAGGCCCCAGAGCTCCTGTGTGCCTGTGTCTGCATGTGGATGCTGAGAGTTAGAACGTGGTGGTGGTGCTGGGGCAGCAGGATGTAGGCAGGAGGCAGTTCTGCAAGCCAAATCTCTGAGCTCCCTGTGCCAGTCATTGTATCTCCTAATTTCTCTGAATCGTGCTGAGCTGATGCTTCAGATCATTTCTGGACAGGCAGCTTCTTTACTCAAAGTGAGATGGTACACTAGTCATGGGAACTCTGCAGTTACCAGTATGGATGCTATTCCAGAACACCACTGTCCAGGGAAACCACAGCTGGGATCTGTTTGATGTGGGAAGGGAGGGAGGTCTGGTCCATGCTCTAGGCCAGAGTAGAGGTCTTTGAGTGGGTGAGGCAGATGGGCATGTGGAATCATTTCTGAGTAGCAAAAATGGGGCTACTGAGGCCTCTGCCCATTCTCAGTGGGACCTCCTGCCTGGCCTGGGGTCTGTGCAGGGTGGGCTGAGCCAGCTGCAAAGGCAAATGTTGGCTGGACAAGGCCAGAGCTCACTCTCTGCCTTTCTGTTGTACCAGCATCTCTCACTGCCTTAGGGCTCTTCAATGCTGTTTAATTTTAAAATCATCCCAGCTTTTCTGGATGTTGTCAGTAGGTGGGTTGGTCTGAAATAGCTTCACCGGCTACTCCTGCATTGTAACAGTTGTGGTGGCAGCAAAGTGTTTCATTGATTGGCATGACCAACCTTTACTCTCAACATTTCCCTGCTGAGTGGGCAGTTTACATACACACACACACACACACACACACACACACACACACACCCTTTGTGCTTTTGTCATGATTGATGTTTCAGCAAGTATCTTTTCTGAAGTAGTGTTTATTTTCTCAAGATAAACTCTGACTTCACAGGGACTTTACTAAGCTGATTCCTTCTAAAAGAACAGTGCTGCTTTGTGACACAGAGCTGGGGAGACCTGTTTTGTGGGATGGTTTGTGCTGCTGCTGGGAGCCCTGGAAATGGCTTTCTTGTTGTGTGGTGGGCAGAGCTGCGCCAGCTGTGGCCCTGACAGACTGGAGGCCACTGTGGGCAGTGGAGATCCTTGCCTCTAGCAGCCTTAGCAATGTGCTCCCCAACAGGTGCTGAGTGGCTGCCAGCAGGGCACAGTGAGTGTGTGGGAGATCGTGACAGGGAGAAAAATGATGGAGTTCTCAGTGTCCGGTGCCCAGCTCGTGGAGCTCACTGCAATGGCCCTGGACACGTACGAGCGGTGCCTCCTGACGGGCTTGCTGGATGGCACAATGAAGATGTGGAACTACAACACTGGAGAGTGTCTGCTAACTTTCCCCAACCCTGACCAAGTGGAGGTCAGTCTACTCTGCCAACTGGAGACAGAAGCAAACCACAGCTCCTGGGACCCTAGGACACGCTATTTTTTGTGTGTCTCCCAAAGGCTGCATGACATGGTCAGAATGCCTGGCTTCAAACCTGCTCGAGTCTTTGTGTCCTTATGCCAAAAATGAAGACAGGCAGCAGTGTTATAGAATTCAATGGTCTAGGTCCATTAAGTTAGATAATGTGGTGTGAAAGCATGCTGAAAATTAATGCCGGTATTAATTTGAGGGAATTGTCATCATTGAGTTTTAGCTTTTTGCTTGGTACATTGAGAAAGACACTTGGGGCCCAGTGCTATGGTCTTGGAAGAGCTTTAGTTTCGTTTTCTTCTATCTTCAACAGATTAGTGGCATTGTCCATATGAACAAAGTGTACTACATGACAGGATGGAGTAAGAGGATCACCAGTTTCATGTGAGTAGCAAGCGTGAGTGGTGAGTAGATAAGGCAAGTGTTGATCTCTCTCACTCTATGTTGATCTCTCTACTCCTAGCTTTCCTAGTGTGTGGCATACTGAGCACAAAATTAGTGGTGGGCAGTGACCACTGCTCCCTCTACTCATCTATCCATTCGTTCATCCTTCATTAAGGCTGATATATCCTAGCCACATGCTGGGGGTGAGTGTAAGCAAGAATGATTCCCCAGCTGAGGGCTACTCTGGGCTCTGATCAGATGGAGGTTTTCCTGGTGTTTGGAAAGCTGCTTCTCCTTTTTCCCCTGACTTGGTCTTGCTCTGGAGAGCAGCCAGGATTCTGTGAGTTTCTCTACCATACCAGTGAGTGTGAAACCAGGACTGAGGTTCTTCCAGGGGACCTGCTCCATTTTGAATCTGAAATCTTTACATCAATGTTGTCAGACGTTTATGCTACAATACCTGCGGTCTGTATTGTGCCCTGTCGTCCATTTGCTACAAAAGACAAAGAACATCATGCATGTGAACAGAATGTCTCCTCGGAAGGATCAGGAAGAGCAAACTCACACATTGTGGAAACTATCATTTGCGACCTTAAGAGCAAAATTCCTGCTTTAAAAGCTGCTCCAGTCCTCTTTCTCCACCTGAGATTTTAGAAGCAAAAATAATGCTCAGAAATTGTGGCTTCAGCTGCTGGACATGTTAGAAGCTGGCATGTGTCTAAGGGTCCTGCTTATCTTACATCTTAAAATATTTTAAATGACTTGATTTTTAATGAAATAGCTCTTTGTAGTTTCTTGACCCCTTATTAAGAAGGTTCCTCCTGTCTTTAGCCTTTTGAGGAACTATAATAAAATGCCTTCTCTTAAAAAAAAAAAAGGGTGACAGAGCCTCCGTCCTCCTGGAGCATCTCTGTGGGGGAATGTCTTGTTTGGACTGCTGTAACAGGATATCAGATCACGTGGCTATAAACTTCAGAAATTTATTTTGCGCAGTTCTTGAGGCAGACCAAGGTGCCAGCAGGTTTGGTGCCTGGTGAGGACCCACTTCCTGCTTCATGGAAATTTGTCTTTTTTTTTCCTCTTCTGCTTTTGTGGTGTTGGTGATGGAACACAGGCCTTTCACATGCTGGGCATGCACTCTACCACCGAGCTACACTTCCAACCTGAAAGCTGTCTTTGTGTTATAAACTTACCCAGTGGAGGGGCTGAGGGATCTCTCTGGGGCCTCTTTTATAAGGGAACCAAATCCCATGTTGGGGCTCCACGCTCATGACCTCATCATCTTTCAAAGACTTGATCACCAGTACCCGCACATTGGAAAATAGGGTTTTTTTTGTTTTTTTTTTTTTGGTGGTACTGGAATCGAACTCAAGACCTTGTGCTTGTCAGGCAGGTGTGGTACCACTGAGATAAATCCCCAGCCCTGGGAAATAGGTTTTTTGAGACATGTTCTCACTATGTAGTTCAGGCTGACCTTGAATCTTGAACTCACTGTGTAGCCCAGGCTAGCCTCAAAGTTGAGGTGATCCTCCTGCCTCAGCCTCAAGAGTGCTGGGATTATGGGTGTGTGCCACTGTGCCCAGCTGTTGAAGTAGTTTTATTACATGAATTTTGGGAGAATATGAAATTCTCCCATGTATTCCTCTTCTGGTTTCTACAAATTTATGTCCTTCTCATATGCAAAATATATTCTCCTAGGCCTCAGACTGTGCTAATATCAGTCCATTGGGCCAGCTGAGCTAGTTCATCACACCCAAGATTGATGTCTTTCTCAAGAAACAGAAGTAGTGTGTGCCTCACCCTCCCACGTAGCTAGGATTACAGATGTGAGCCACCATACCTCTTTTTATAAGGGCACCAGTCTCATTTATGAGGACTCTACTCTTGTGACTTAATCGCCTCTCAAAGGCCCCACCTCCACATTCCATCCCACTGGGGATTAGGTTGGGAGGGAATTTGGGGGGAACACAGCCTATGTGAAGTAGTCAAATAATTTCACTTGTAAAGTATACTGTGATATGAAAAAAATAGAAATCCCTACAGGGAGTAGAGGTGGAAGCCTAATCTAGTCCTGGGGAGCCATTGGAATGGGTCATGGGTTGGTGGATCTGAAGGGTGATCATAGGAGCGGTAACAAGGGAGCATTTGGGACAGGATCACTCCACAGGGTGGAACACCACATGCAAGGTCCTTCCTTTTCAGAGGGCCTTTGTGGGGCTGTGATTTCCCTGCTTTACCCTAATCCTTAACGGGGTATCTGAATGGGGGGATTAGGGATAATAGCCTGGAAGCCTGTTGACAGGCCCTTTATAGTAGGCACATGGAGAGAGTTTAGGAAATGAGGTTAAGTGAGGCAGGGCTTCAAGCTCCAGTGCCCCAGAGCTTCTCTTCTGAGCTGTCTCACAACGTCTGAAGGGCCATGGTTCTCCTCAAAGAGCATTAAAGGCTGCGCTTGTTGCCCTCTCGTCCCTGGCCACGTTTACAGGTTCCACAAGACCAAGCCAGTGCTCTTGTGCCATCACTGGCAGACCTTCCACATGGAAGATGTGCTCTGCATGGCTAAGTACCAGAACCAGTTCCTTGGGACTTCCTCCTACAATGGGGACATCCTCTTCTGGAACGTCAACATGTTGAAGCCCATCTTGAATTTCAATGCCTCCGTGAGCCCCTTACCCTTGCAGCCTGTGAAGGTACAGTCTCAGCAGGAACACCCTCCCTCTCACTTTTGTCTCAGCTGGGGGCCAGGATTGAGGAAGGGAGGGAGGGCGGGACGCACTCTGGGAAGCAGAGGGCAAGTGATGTATTCTGGAGGGGCTGGAAGCTGCGAGGATACATGGTAGTTTCTATGATTATATCCATTTGATAGATGAGAAAGCTGAGGCACAAAGAGATAAACACCTTGTCTAAGGCCACATAGCCAAGAACGTGTAGAGCCAGGCTCAGGCAGTCTGACTGGTGGCTCTAGTCCTGTCATTTCTCATAAATTACTCGCTTGTTGGCGGAAGCTCCCATTTTACTCATAACTGTTACATGTTACTGCTCTGAGCGCCCCAGACTTACGGTGGGGACCTAGGAAACTACAGGCTTGGAATTACTACATCATAGAAGACTAAAGTTGGCAGGGTCCTAAGGGGTCACCGTGTGTAGTATTCAGCTGTGCTAGGAAGACGTGCAGGGTTGAGGGGCTCTGGTGAATGAGGCTTCCCCCAGAATGGCTCAGTGTTTTGTATCTTTTACACTTGGGATTTTCCTCAGATTAGAAACAAGCATGAACAGCTTTGGAAACCACTGCCCATTTTACAGATGAGGAGATAGAGCTGCCAACAGTAGCCATGCTGTACCTTTGGGGACTTAGGACATTAGTGGTAGGTGCAGGGATGGTGTTAAAAGCTTTGCTCTGAGGGCTTTAAGGGTGAAAGGTTTCTAGAAAGCAAGTCCTCAGACAACTATAAGATCCAGAGTTATTGGTATTGGGCTGGGGAGTTTCCCTCTAGGATGTTACAGTGCCTTCAGGGATGCTTTCTTCCTGGTACAGGTGGAAGAAGCAGAGGTATGTGTGGATAGCAGCCAAGGGCTTAGCAAAACCTGCGTGGAGAAGATGTGGGCACATAAGGCCTCCGAGCGGCTCCCTTGCCCTGGCAGGAGGACCAGCCACAGACGGACCCTCATGTCAGCTCCTGTGGGGATGAAACACTCAGGCTCCAAGGAACCAGAAAGGCCTCTGTCCCAGCAGGTGAGAGAGAACCTCTCCCCCCGTCTTTGGTGTTTGTTTCCGTATTCAGGTACACTTTTCCCAGGGTGTCTAGAAAAGGTGCTTTCCTATCCACTCACTTGTTTGGAGCATGACAGGCAGGCAAAGTACCTTTCTGTTGTAGTCCCATTGTATGTAACCTGCTGCGCTGCCACAGGCCTGGGGACGGTTGCTTCCCAGAGCGCTGCCACACAAGGCTCCAGAGCCTGAAAATTTAAGAGTCCCTGAGGAGACCGCCAGCCTGAAAACCTAAAAGTAGATGCTAGAGACTGAGCTGCTGATTTAGTCCTCGAGTCTGAGTACCAGTTGCTGGCCCAGCAGTACTTGTGGGGGTTCCTGCAAGCCAAGCCTCCTTGGAGCCCAGGCCACAAAGGCCTGAGCCAAGATGCGGCAAAGCACTGTCCTCTTCCTCTGAGCTCTCTTGGACATGTTCCCCAGGATTGGCTCTTCTAAAAGGAACGAGAATGCCTGAGAGTTCTCTTGTAAGGGTAGAGAGAAGGAGCAGGAGAAACTATTGCCTCCTGACTGCAGGGTGGCTGGACATGGTCTTCCCACAGTGATGACGTTATCTCAGTGATGAGTCCAGAGCTCTTTTGTGTGGACCTCTTTTGGAGGGGCCAGTCCAGTTTCTGCAATTAAGTTCTCATTCCTGCTTCACACACCTTCTACAAAAAGAAAAAGGAAAAAAGAAAAAAAAAAAAAAGGTCATTGCAAACGTATGGCAGTGTAGAGCCAGCTCCAGAATGATCTGCTGGGAGTAGTTCCTCGGAAAGGCTCGCCCTTTACAATACCCTAAGACACTCATGCCATTGTAGAAGGATCAGGATTATGCCACTGCCTTTGGAGCTTCTAGAACAATAGTAGGCCTCTTTGGCCTCATTTTTAGCCAGGTAACCATTTCCATGACAAAGAAAGGGTCTTCTGCAAAGGCAAAATCAAGTATCTGTTCTAGACAGCAAAATTACTTGTCGCTGAAAAAGGGAGATTCCCCAGCCTTAGAGAGTCTAAAGCCTAACACATACCAGATAGGCTGCTGGGCTTTACAGGGTATAGTATCTACTGTGGGCATCACGGGGCGGCCACTGGTCATCTGCCTCTGGTCTCTGTCCCTCATGGGGAAGGAAGGCACCCTTATGTGACCTGAGAGGCCTTGCTTTCTTTCCAGATATGTTTCAGCACTGGGAGATCCAAGTCGTCAAACAGGTACCTTGACAAAGGGTCATTTTACAAAGAGACTGAAATGAGAAGAAAGGAACCCCAGAAGAAAATGTTGCTGCAATCCAATGCATCAGTGGAGAAGGTTGGCCATGCTTAGCCGTGGTGTGGGCAGTCATGGTTGGGCTGGGCCCGCTGGACGAGGAGCCCAGCTGGACTCACTCTAGAGCCAGAGGGGCATTGCAGAGAGGATGGTGCTGTGCAGAGTCCTGGAGTCAGGGCTGCAGTGACTGAGGAGTGTTCTCCAGGGGCAGGGGTGCCCACCGAGGGGAGCAGGATCCCCTCCTGGTTGGGGGTTGGGCTGGGGCAGAATGGCATTTCCAGATCCCGCTGTTGGAATGACCTCCCCTGCCTGCAGGGGTGCTTTGTGTGTGTATGAGTGATGCTGGTTCGTCTCTGTCCTTGTCTCTTCTCTTCCCTTCCCCTTTCTGACCCTGAGTACTCTTTCACTGTGATATTTCTCCCGTTCCTGAAAAAAGCATCACAGCTGTGGTAGGGCATGCTGTGGGGACTAGGGACTGAGAACAAGGACCCCTTGGAGCTGGTCCTCCAGTGATGGGTGGACAGCTGGGGGCTCCTGTTCCTGCCACCAGGTTCTGAATGTTTTTCTTTAACTCTCTTCAAAATATCTTTAAATAGCTTCAAGAAGTACTAATGCTAGTTAATAATAAGCAGTATTTACGGAAAAAGATTTCATCTTCCTCTTTCCTCCCCATCTCATTCCCAGTAGTAGTAGTTACTGCTAACAGTGCTATAAAATTACAAATTTTAGCTGTGTCTTGCCTTTTTTTTTTTCAGTGCTGGGGATTGAGCCTAGGGTTACACATAAGCTAGGCAAGCACTCTGTCACTGGGCTAGACCCAAACCATTTTAAAATCATGTATGTTTTGTGGATATGTTTTCATGTTTCATTTCGCTCTTCTTTTGGTTGCGTAGTACCCCACCATGTGGGCATTGCATGAACTTTACACCAGTCTTCTATTGACAGACATGTAGGTAACGCCAGTTCTTGGCTTTTCTGAAGAGCGTCGCGCTGAGTGCCCTCCCTGTACACGCTGGACACTGTGTGCATACGCTGCAGGGACGGTCCTCGGGGCAGGACTGCCAGCAAGCTCAGCCCTTTAAATCTGTGACTCCTCTCAGGCTGGTGATGACTTGTGCTGTCAGGGCACAGGTGGTTATTCATTGAGCATCTACCGCGCCGGGCTCTGGGGAGGTCGTGGTGGACGGAGGCCAATCCCTATCCTCGTGGAAGTGGCACTGTGGTCGGTGCGACACATGGAGTGAGCAAGTGAACAAGGAAGCTGGGAAGAAGGGAGGATGGGTGTGGGTGGTGGGGCCAGCGCTGCTGCTGTAACATCCTGAAGCAGCGAGGACCATGCCCTCCTGTTATCTGGGAGGGTGGTGACCCTGGCAGAGTGGACAGGAAGTACAAGGCTCTCTCAGGAAAGCGTACTTGGAAGGTTCAAGAAAGAACCTGTCTCTGTGTTCTCCCTCTTCCCCTCCCTCCCTCCCTCCACTCCACAATTTTTTGTCTGTCTCTGTAATTATAAAGTGATATATGTCCTTCATTAAAACTATAACATTTAATCTCTGTAAGAGTGTATAAAATTAAAGGATGGCTATCCACCTCCTCAGTCTCCAGAGGGATCTATATGGTTAGCCTTCCAGGCCTTTTTTTCTGAGCATATACAAGCACATAAATGTATGACTGTATATGTGTAAATACAGGGATCTCTCCTACATATTCTGCCCCTTGCTCCCTCTCACCTGGTGCCTCCTGGGCCTCTGTCTATCTTCATGATGGTGTTTTTGGAGTCTCAGCCTTCCTTTTCTAGCCATGGGGTGTTCTGGCATCCACCATGTAGTTTATCCAGTGTCTCCCATCACTGGCAGATGATTAAGTTTCTAGGTTTTGGCTTTGTAGAAATCACTGCAGTGACATCTTTGTACATACATTTCAGATGTTTTTTTTCTATTTCCCAGGAGTAAAACCTCAAGCTTAGAAATACAGCCCTGGAAGGCTTTTGCTATGTTGTGTTACACTGCAGCCTAATAATAATATAAGCATCAGTTAATATTTATTGAGCTCTTAATATCTGCTAGCCAGTGAACTTGATGGTGTATATAAATTATTTTTATGTTATCTTAAATAACCCCAGGGGATATGCACTGTTCTTCTCATTTTATAGACAAAAACAGGCTCAAAGAGGGGAAATGACTTGCTTGTGAATCTCACTGCCGGAAAATGGCAGAGCCAATGCTTGAGTCCAAGTCTGTCTATTTTCAGGCTCTGACTTTTTAAAAAATTCTTTGTATAGTTTAATTCTTTGCAGTTACTATTGGGAATTTCTTGTGTGGTTTTTTTTAACCTGGTCTTGCATCATGAATCTTGGCCAGATTTTTGACTGGATATGTGTACAAAGGATTGAATGTCTGCTGGTGAGATTTCAGTCACCATGATGGCAGTGTGTGTGTGTGTGTGTGTGTGTGTGAGTGTGTGTGACACTCTGGTGGACAAGTGTGTAAGAGTGCTTCCTGCTGATGTTGCCTCTCCAGGCCTCTGTGTGTCCCACTTCCTTCTCTACTGTTCCACAAGCAGCCAAGTCCCTTCTTCGGGAGTGGGGAGCTGGGCTTTGAGCAGAACACACAGCTTTTCAGGATAGTGCCCAGGAGAGGGTCCAGAGCTTTTGGATCTTGTCTGGTGCCAGGCTTTCCTTAGTGAAGGGAGGGACTCAGGAAGGATGGGACAAAGGCGTCCATTAAACAGTAACTTGCCTTTCCCCCTCTTCCTTCAGCTACTTTCTATCTCTTAATTTTGACTACTCCAACTAGCTCATATAACTGGAATAATATTAATCATTCTATGATGATTGGCTTACTTAGCATGATGTTCTTTGAACTCATTTACATTGTACCTTGCATATATCAGAATTTCCTTTATTTTTTAAAGGCTGAACACTATTCCATTGTATGTACATACTGCATTTTGCTTATCCACCTGAATAGACACTTGGGTTTGGTTTCTTCTCTAGGTTAGTTATTGTCAATAATACTGCAATGATACTGTCTTTGGATGCACACATTTAAAAATTTTTATCAAGCCCAGTTTGCCTATTTTTTCTTTTGCTGCCTATGTTTTTGGTATAATATCAAAGAAGCCACTGTCAAATCCACTGTTGTTAAGCTTTTGACCTTTTCTCTTTTAAGGATTTATTGGTTGTAGGTCTTAAATCTGGTTTTAATCCACTTTGCGTTAATTTTTGAATATGATATGAGTCGAATTTCATTCTTTTTTTTTTTTTTTTGAGACAGGGTCTCACTAAGTGGTTCAGACTGCCCTGGAACTCACTATGTAGCTCAGGCTGGTCTCAAACTCACCGTGATCCTTCTGCCTCAGCCTCCTAAATGCTGGGATTATAGGTGTGCGCCACCACACCCAGCATGAACTTCATTCTTTTGCATGTAAATAACTAATTTTTACAGAGCCATTTGTTGAAAATACTGTCTTTTCCTCATAGTCTTAGAACTCTTGTCAAAATTCATTTGACTTTTTATGCAGACTTATTTCCGGGCTATTTTATTCCATTGATCTGTATATGTCTGTCTGTGTATATCACCATGCTGTTTTGGTTATTACAGCTTACTAGTAAGTTTTGATGTCAGGAAATGTGGGCCCTCAAGCTTTGTTCTTTGTTTTCAAAATTGTTTTGTCTACTCAGGTTTCCTTGAGATTACATATGAATTTTAGGACACACTTTTCTCGTTCTGTGAAAAATATCATTAGATTTCTGATAAGTATTGCATTTAATTAGTAGATTGTTTTGAGTAGTATTGATATATATATATATATATATATATATATATAATTTGTGTGTGTTTGTGTGTGTGTGTGTATGTGTGTGTGCGCCAGGGATTGAACTCGGGACCTTGCACTTGCAAGGCAGGCATGGTGTCCACTGAGTCAAATCCCTGGCCCAGTATTGATATCTTAACAGCAGTAAGTCTTCCAATCCACTATGATGTTTCCATTTATGTCCTCTTTAATTTCTTTCAGCACTATTTTGTAGCTTTTATTATACAAATATTTTACTTCCTTGGTTAAGTTAATTTTAAGTATTTTATTCTATTGATGCTATTATAAATGTAAATGAAGTTGTTTTTATTTTTTTCAAATTGTTCATTGTTAGTGTATATAAATGCAACTGATTTTTGTGTACTAACTGTATCCTGTGACTTTGCTGAAGTGAGTTATTAGTTCTAACCATTTTTTGGTTAAAAATCCCTACCCTCAAGTAGCTCATGCTCCTGTATGATGATGTTACCACCAGGTAGATAGGAAAGGGCATCTTAGAAACTGTGAGACCAGTTGGGTATGGGAACTTTCCCAGGACCCTCAGCAATATGTGACAGAGGCCAGAGTAAGCCCTGGCTCACAGCCCTGCTCTCTTGCATAGATCATTTTCCTGCAGACCAGGCCTCGCCTGCCACATACGGCGGCCATGCTGAGCAGCTGCATCAATGGCTACATCTATGCTTGCTCCATCCATGGGAATGGAGGTCTGCTAGGGAAGTTCCCCGTGGACCTTGAAGATAATGGGGATGTTGTGGGTGCCATGGCCACTGATGAAAACGACTGGATCCTTATCACAGGAGATTGTAAAGGACGCATCAAGGTAAGGAAGAACCCTTGTTGAGATTGAGGGTCTGGGGCCAGCCAAGCTTCTGGTTACCTCTTTGGTATGTGTAGCTCTGGCTTAGTTCCTATTCCACCTGGGTTTGGAGTCATTTGTAAAACAGTGGGGGGAATAGGGTGGGATATTTAGGAGCCCTCCCCTGCTCTGATGTGCCCAGTGAAATGCCCCGAAGAAGCTTTCCTCAGGAGCCCATGGCCCAGCATTGTCCTCGCACTTCTCCCTCACCTCGCAGTGGTGTAGCTCATCTGTGATCAGCTGTCTTGTGCTTTGTGGTGAGACGTGAGGCAGGAGTGTCTTGTGCTTCAATCAGCTACACTCCCTCTGCCTGCTAATCAGTGGATCTGCCTTTGTCCCTTTCTGGCCCTGAGTAGCTATTTATTTCAGAGGTGTAACTAAGAACTGCTCCCAAAGTAAAGAGGAATAGTCTGGGAGGGACCCACAGACTGACCTGGGGGTGGGCTCAAAGAGTGCTATGCTCAGGGCTCAGTGGTTCCACCGCCTGCCTCACAAGTGCAAGGTCCTGAATTCGATCCCTGGTACTGAGAGAGAGAGACAGAGAGAGAGAGAGAGAGAGAGAGAGAGAGAGATAGCGCTTTGCAACTAACCCAGACTTTGTGCCTAGATATGGGACATCAAGGATTACTGCACATTTGTTGGCCATCGGCTACCCCAATCTAGTGGGGTGAAGATTCCCACTGAAACAGAGAACAAGTTCCGGTTCTTAATTCCTGATCGGCTCCAGACCAGTATTCCATACTACATTCCTCTGCAGGAGAAGGAGGTAGGGAGATTACGGGAGGGGGCGGGTGTTGCTCATAAAAGTACTTTTGAAGCCCTACTAAGCTGGGACTGTGGTTCTTTCTCTTAGTGAGATTATGGTTTTTTTCATGTTTCCTTTTCATGATTGGCTTTTGTGGAAGAATCTGTTAATCAGAGGCCAGGATTAGTAGTGAGACACAACTATACACACACCAGATATCCCTGTACACATATATATGCTTTGTATACACACATACATGTGCACGCACCCTATCCATGTGCTTTGCTCTTTGTAGGTGGATGTAGGTGGACTCTGGACTCAGGAGTTTTTCTAAAAAGACAAAATATCTATATATTTTCTGAATAAGTAATACATTAACAGGGTGCAAAATCCCTTGATATTTAGCCACGTGGTGGTAGATCCCAGCCCTCTGAGAGGCTGAGACAGGAGAATTGCAAGTTCAGCTTAGTGACTTAGCAAGATCCTATCTCAAAATTTAAAAAAAGATTGGGGATGTAGTTCAGCGTGAAGGGCTTAGGTTTAACCCCTAGTACTATTTAAAAAAAAAAAAGAATCAGTTGATATTTGCTTTATGACTAGTGAAATTAAGCACCTTCTCCTTAGTTATCAGGAGAATGCAAATAATCATATCACAGTGACATATGCGCACCTATGTTTACAGCAGCACAGTTTGTAATAGCTAAAACTTGGAAACAGCCCATTTGCCCATCAGTAGGAAACTGGATAAAGAAGATGTGGTTTTTCTATAAAATGGAATACTACTCAGCCATAAAGAATGACAAAGTAGATTCATTCGTAGGAAAATGGATACATTTTGAGGATATACTCCTAAGTGAAATAAATAAGTCACACATGTGTAAATACTGAATAGTTTCTCTGGTGTGAAAAACTATAATAGTACTCAAGATCGTAATGGGATAATTAGCAATGTGAAGTAGGAAGAAAAGGGCTAAAGGTGTAGGGACAGTGGGAAGGGTAGGAGAAGGGGAATAAGGGAAAGGGAAAAAATGTGAGAAAACGTAAAAATGGAATTAAAGTGTTTGTAGATGGGGAGGGGAGGAGG